GAAAGAGAATGCTTATCTTTATCTAGGTATCCTTTGCCTTTTGTGCAGCTCTAAAGAAAAGCAGACTCCAGAAACTACTCACTGCCTCCAGTAATCATTTTGTGTGTCTCACTTTCTTACTTTGTTCCTGCCCAAGTTAGAAAGAATGACAGGTGATAGGACACTGGTTACAGAGAACATTGTCTTTGTAACAGAAGGGTGCTGTCTTCTTCCTGATACTAGATTTCACTCTAGTCTTTACGCAGTTTGAGAGGATTCTTTCCATCATGTCCCATTCTAGGTGCACTTACACTTAAAGTGTGTACATGGTTTGAAGTGTGACTGGGTCTTTCGGAACATCAGAAAAGAGGAGTAAAATAAAAACCAACCAACCTAAACCTTAAGGCAATTGTGGCTATAAACCAATTGTTTGCTGAAGAGTGAGTGCATGTCTCAAGGGCTAGGTTAGGTCTTATTCCTCACACTCACTCCATTCCAGCCTGGTTTTGCTCCAGGCTCTAGCTGTCTCCATGGAAGAAAAATGCATTAGGAACTGCCAGTTTCACCACTCAGTGGTGCAATATTCTGCAGAAAGGATGCAGATGTTCTTTAAACTTTCTTTCATGTGTAGAGATCACCAAAGGGCAAAGAAAAGCAGCTCACCAATGGGGTTAGTGGAGGTTTCTTGGCCTTTCTGGTGCATGCGGTAGTGACGAGTAACTGTGCCGTGAGCAGCTTCTGCTTCAACAGTCTTGCCATCAGGGCAGATCAGCACACTGGTCATCATCCCCAGAGAGCCATAACCTACAGAATACAAGTTTAAAAAGTTTGGCATCCCCTTTGGACAGCTCCCTTAAATTCTCCTTATTCCCCTCATCCTACAATCGTCCTCCATCCTCCCAGCCTGGACGTGAATATTCCTGAACAGCAGTGCTGCTGCAACTCACTGGCTAATTGCAACACATCAAAATAGCAGTTTGTCTGAACAGAAAGTGCCACTGAACCATGAGATAATAGAGAATCAGATATTCTACACCATTTCAAGAAAATTGGTGTTTTCAACTAACTTGCTGGACAGGTTTTTACTGAAAAGGTACAGTAAGAGAACAAGAAATCCTAAGTAAGCAGTACTGGGCTGCTTATCTTCTCCATAGAGTGACAGGAAACAAACCTATTTATCAAGAGCATCTGCTCTAATGAAAGGAACCAGGAGCCGGTGAAACTGGACATTCACATCACTTCTAACCTTGTAGGTTTCAGAGATCCTTATCTCTGAAAGCCTAGTTTAGTAGTCCAACACACATCCTTATTCTGTAGCAGGCCATTTAATGGCATTACTTTAGAAAGAGCATGTTATGTAAAGCCACATATCTTGTCCTGTGGGATTCTCCATCCATATTTATTTTGGCACCAGGCAGCTTGGTTGTATAGGATTTTGATCAAGTTTATAAAGTTAAACATATCAGTCTCCCCCTTTACACCTGACAGATAGCTTTAGGTCCTGAAGGTTTTGTTACTTATCTGCAGAGCACCTGCCAGTAGGCTTATCACCAATCAGACTGACTCAAGCTGTCAGTGGCAGAGTCCCAGCTGTCTGGATACCATCCATTAGAATAGAAAGCCTATCAGTTATTATGTTGGTAGGAACTTCCCTCCTGCAAATAAATACAACTACACAGACTACATTCAATAGATTTTCTTGTAAAAGTGAAATCAGAAATTCTTTGTCTCCCTGGTATTTGGCCACAGTATGGAGGTATATGATACTGGCCTTTGAAATCTACGTTCTGAGATCCAACACCACCTCCTGTGTCATTACATAAAGTGTGACAGAAGGTCACAAGAGACTGCCACTGAGCCAATTTCAGTGTAGCACAGGAAGCATCTCATACCTTGTGCAACAGAGTCAGACTGCACATCCCCATCATAGTTCTTGCAGGCCCAGACAAAGCCTCCTTCAGATTTCAGGGCCTGAGCAACCATGTCATCAATGAGCCTATGCTCATACCAGATCTTCTTGGCTTCAAACTGGGACTTGTATTCTCTGAGAAACAAAAAAACAGAACACCTTGTAATATAGACAGGGATTGCACAATTTGTGCATAGAGAAGTGCACAGAGATAAGAGTAAAAAAAAAGTTTAATAACTGCATCCTCTTGACTCTTTTTTTCCCTTGTTTGCTTTGCTAGACTACTGCAAAGCTTGCTTCAGAATTACAAGAGGCATCCCCAGAGAATCTGTGGCTCTCTATTAGAAGATATGAACACCACAGCCACATTTAGCAGAGCTTTAAATATTGAGTACTGTGCCTTGCAGGACAAGGCAGACTGACAGAGAAGGCACCTCCCCACCCCTCCAAAGTGCTGCTGATTGTCTGAAAATGCAACTCACAAGGCTGGAGAGGATGTTCCTGCTGCAGACTTATGCACTGCAGTAGGAAGTACACAACTAGTTACCTGTCATAGATGTCTTGGAAGATATCTTTAAAGCGGCCATCGTATTTCTTCAGAATGGTGTTCTTGGTGCTCATGTAGAGGGGCCAGCCTTTAGACAGTGCCATTTGGAAGGAACTGTGGGCAAACTCCTTGATAGACTGGTCAAGATTGTACATTCCCATGGCTACACCACCACCGCCTGTTAGTGGAGGAAGAACAGATAGGAATCAAGTAGATTTAGTTTTGGTTAAGACTTTGACATTCTCTCCATAGCATACTCTGGCTGGCAGACCGGTGTTATCCCCAGGTGTCCTGATCTAGTTCTCAACTGAAGGCTGCTGCTACCAGGAGAAGATTCACTTGCACTACCAACTCAAAGCTCCAGCATTCCTATGACATATGGATAATAGGAAGGTGGGTTTGTTTTACAGCTAAGTACATCAATACTGTAATCTAATCCCCCTAAGAAGTTTCTTACTAATCCAGCCTAAGCAGCAAAACTGTGACAAACTGTGTTTGAACTGCACCTAGTCATATAATACAGTATTTTTCTATCAAAGCAGCAGGCAGCAGTTTGGAGCAGGGATCTCAGTCAAATCCAGAAATGGATTTGCTCACATCTTAAATGCTTTGCACCTCCAGGCCCTAACTGCAGAACTAACTCCAGCAGTCAAAGGCTGCTTTGCCTACCTCAG